ATTGCACTAGCAAGAATGAGGATACAAATAGCAAACCCTAGAAGGGTTGTACTCGCTATAGAGCACCCCACTACAGGCTAGAGCATAAGATAACATTCTGACACACCCCCATAGCCAAAGTGGGGTGTAATCAGCAGAGTAAGCAAAGGAGTACAAGCTCAGGGTGGATCACAATGTCACCACACATTCTGAGCACAAGTTCAAGAAGCAATAGTTTAAGTTCACAATTATGAGCAAAGCTAGTGGTAGTCACAACGGGCAAGTGAGGAGGAGGAGAGAGAGTGAGAGGAGAGGAGATAGGAGGCGACGGCTGAAGCTGCAGACACACAGGCAACAGGAGGCAGACTGGCACAGCGGCTACCGGACGAAGTCCCCGGAATACAGGAGTAACAGGCCCCGCGGCTAAAGTAGCGGCAGACGAGCAACGGACCCACGGGCGGCTGGCACAGCTGGCTACGACTGGGCTACCGGACGAAGTCCCCGGAATACAGGTGCTGCTGGCGACACGACGGCAACCTCCATTCAGCTTCCCCAAACTATCCCACTCCCCCCTGGCACATACCCGCTGCTACACCGCTAGCTCCACTCCCCCTTCACCCCCCCTTAGTACCACTCCACCGGCTCCAACACGTCCACCCCCCCTCAGCGGCAGCTGCAGCACAGGGAGACGGAGGAGGAGGAGGAGCAGGGAACAGTACACAGTGGGTGCACCCCCATACCCCGCACCCCCAAACCCTAATACAGGAGAATGGGGAGTAGGAGGGGTGGGGCACGAGTAGAAGCGCTGGGGGACAGTAGGGAGGGCAGGGGCAGCAAGGAGCGGGCCCACCACGGGCCTGGTAGGGTCGCCCGAACCGCGCGTAGGCGGCCTGAGCCGCGCGCGGGCCTGGCGCCGCCCGTACGGGCCGCGCGCGGGCCTGGCGCAGCCCGTACGGGTGGCGCGCGGGCCTGGCGCAGCCCGTACGGGTCGCGCGCGGGCCTGGCGCAGCCCGTACGGGTCGCGCGCTGGCCTGGCGCAGCCCGTACGGGTCGCGCGCTGCCTGTACGGGCCGCGCGCAGGCCACGACGGGCGACGGGGGGCGACGAACGGGTCCCCGTCGCCCGTCGCGGCGCCTCCCGAGGGCGACGCGACGGTTGACGGGGCCGAAGCCCGCCGCGCGCCTCGGGGCGCACAGCGGGCAGAGAACCGCCGCGCGCCTCGGGGTGCACGGCGGGCAGAAAACCGCCGCGCGCCTCGGGGCGCACGGCGGGGAGAAAACCGCCGCGCGCCTCGGGGCGCACGGCGGGAAGAAAACTGCCACACGCCACGGGGCGTGCGGCACCGAGTGAGGTGGTAGGAGTTGCAGCGGAAGCTAGGAGGTGGTAAGCCCACCCACAGGATCGATCCAAGGGGATCGACCTGCTCTGATAGCATGTTAGAATTTAGAAGAAAGAAGAGGATTGCACTAGCAAGAATGAGGATACAAATAGCAAACCCTAGAAGGGTTGTACTCGCTATAGAGCACCCCACTACAGGCTAGAGCATAAGATAACATTCTGGCATTGTAATGCTATGACGACTGCACTGCACACTCCTCGGAGAGTCGTGTCACAATCCATAGCTAGTGTTTAGAGCTAGGCAAGGAGATGACGCTAGAGTTTGGCCAAAGAAAAGGGGGTTTCACTATAGAATGTTGGAAAGATATAGGCAAGGAATGAGAGGTGCACCACCAAAGATAAAGCAAAATATCCACACTGCCACCCTCCCACAAGCAGTTATAAAAGATATATCAAATATGTTTCGATAGGATGCAAGTTGTTGTATGTCCATGTGTGTATGTGTACGCGAGTGTAAGTGCGTACATGTAACATGCGTGTAACTCTATGGGTGTGTGTTTATGTGTGTGTGTATGTTTGTGTATGCGTATGAGGGGGAGTGTGTGTGCGTGCGTACATGCGTTCGTGCATGTGTGCGTATGTCTGTACGAGCGTGCTTTTATGCATGTGCGTGCGTGTGCGTATGTGTGTGCGGGTGGTTATGCGTACCCGCCAGGGCTGACTTTATCTGACTAAAATAGTCTGATTGTCTGAAATCTCAGGGTATTTTCCTACGGATCCTGATTTTTCAGACTTGTAAGATTTTCAAACATGAGTGCCTCAGACTTACTTGGTTTTGGATCCTGAGATTTTCAGAGTACTGACTTAGCCGATAATGGGTCTTCATACTACAGGGAGTACGGATCCTGAAATGCGGATCTGTGATTTCTACGTACATTCCGCTACGTCATATGTTGCCAGTGTACGAACACACTTCATGGCGCTGTCACGCGCAGAATCTGTCCTTGGCAACTTTTGCCACCCTTTTCCCTTAGAAATCTGCCAACTTGGCTCACTCTTCCACTCACGCGGGACCATCACTGCAGCTACGCGGTGTCAGCGAGGGAAACTGGTTAGCGTTGCGCCCTACGTGCTACATTTGTGGCAGTACTGTACTGCAGTGGTTGTAGTGTGTTCTGAGTACTTCAGACTTGTGTTTTTGCGGAACCTGAAAAATCAGAGTGGCCATTCTCTGGGAAATATGCCTCAGACTAAAAATTTTCAGAGCCCCCAGAACATCAGACTGGATTTTTTTGAATAGTCAGCCCTGGTACCCGCGTGGTTGCACGTACGCGTTTAGGTGTGTGTGCACGTGTGGGTGCGCGAGCGTGCATGTATGTGTATGTGCGTGCTTGCTTGTGTGTGTGTATGTGTGTGTCTGTGTATGCGTATGTGTGTGTGTGCGTGTATGTGCATGTGTATGTGTGCGTGCGTGCGCGCGTGCGTGCGTGCGTGTGCATGTGTGTGTGTGTGTGTGTGTGTGTGTGTGTGTGTGTGTGTGTGTGTGTGTGTGTGTGTGTGTGTGTGTGTGTGTGTGTGTGTGTGTGTGTGTGTGTGTGTGTGTGTGTGTGTGTGTGTGTGTGTGTGTGTGTGTGTGTGTGTGTGTGTGTGTGTGTGTGTGTGTGTGTGTGTGTGTGTGTGTGTGTGTGTGTGTGTGTGTGTGTGTGTGTGTGTGTGTGTGTGTGTGTGTGTGTGTGTGTGTGTGTGTGTGTGTGTGTGTGTGTGTGTGTGTGTGTGTGTGTGTGTGTGTGTGTGTGTGTGTGTGTGTGTGTGTGTGTGTGTGTGTGTGTGTGTGTGTGTGTGTGTGTGTGTGTGTGTGTGTGTGTGTGTGTGTGTGTGTGTGTGTGTGTGTGTGTGTGTGTGTGTGTGTGTGTGTGTGTGTGTGTGTGTGTGTGTGTGTGTGTGTGTGTGTGTGTGTGTGTGTGTGTGTGTGTGTGTGTGTGTGTGTGTGTGTGTGTGTGTGTGGTGTGTGTGTGTGTGTGTGTGTGTGTGTGTGTGTGTGTGTGTGTGTGTGTGTGTGTGTGTGTGTGTGTGTGTGTGTGTGTGTGTGTGTGTGTGTGTGTGTGTGTGTGTGTGTGTGTGTGTGTGTGTGTGTGTGTGTGTGTGTGTGTGTGTGTGTGTGTGTGTGTGTGTGTGTGTGTGTGTGTGTGTGTGTGTGTGTGTGTGTGTGTGTGTGTGTGTGTGTGTGTGTGTGTGTGTGTGTGTGTGTGTGTGTGTGTGTGTGTGTGTGTGTGTGTGTGTGTGTGTGTGTGTGTGTGTGTGTGTGTGTGTGTGTGTGTGTGTGTGTGTGTGTGTGTGTGTGTGTGTGTGTGTGTGTGTGTGTGTGTGTGTGTGTGTGTGTGTGTGTGTGTGTGTGTGTGTGTGTGTGTGTGTGTGTGTGTGTGTGTGTGTGTGTGTGTGTGTTGTGTGTGTGTGTGTGTGTGTGTGTGTGTGTGTGTGTGTGTGTGTGTGTGTGTGTGTGTGTGTGTGTGTGTGTGTGTGTGTGTGTGTGTGTGTGTGTGTGTGTGTGTGTGTATGTGTGCTCGCGCGCGCGTGTATGTATCTTTATGTGCTGTTCATGTCAATTTACGTGGTTAACAGAATCTACCATAAAACAAGGATTCTCCAAGCTTGGAGATGCAATTTTTTTTTACCCAATTCATACAACCACTCTTATGTCCATCCCCTCATCTCGTGAGAAGGGCTGCCTCCAATTTGGCTACCTAGTTTTCCCACCAAAATCATCATGAGAAGCTACCTAGTGACCATCGCGTAATCACTTGCCAGTTTTGAGTGAAAAAAAATGAGCGGAATGGATTGCTGTAATGGTTACCGTACCCGCTATTGAGCCCCATGTTAGTTACCATACACTTGATTTTTCCTAGAAGGTTTATCTGAATGCCGATTATGGTGAGCAGATCGAATAATCGTTAACTGCGTGGACTAGTCCTCAGAATACCCATAACCTTTTAGCGGGGTTCTGTCCTTACTTTGTCCTCGTCAAAGATTCACCCTGCTAGAATTCCATTGGCTGCTGTACTGATGGATGTGCTGCTGGTTTGGTGTGGGTACTGCTGACTCGTCAGGCCGTGTGGTTGGTGGAGGTGATTTGTTGTCCCATATGCACGGACTCAAGCTCCACCGTCCGAAGAAATGTTTTCACTGGAGTGCTCTTCCGCATGACTTGTGATCGAATTCATCACCTGGGAATGCACACCAGTGAAAACATTTCCTCGCCTAGAAGAAAACCCCCTCGTCCTAGCATTTTTTAGGGGAGCCCTGGAAACCCAGAAAAAGTTGCATTTCGAATCCCGTGGATTTGGTGGCAAGGACCACGCAACCTTACGATCCACCACGCATCCCATCAGAACAGTCCCTCTCCTCTCGTGGTACTGTACTGCTTCTCCCTCCAGCTCTTGTGCACCACCAATCCTTCTAAAACTTTACTCCAGTAGCCATCACCACTTCTCCGAACTCCCTCATTCCCTCTTTGCTCTATTCTCTGGGAACTTCACGTCTACTCAGCCCGTGTGGCGCAACAAGCCACCCTGGCAACGCTCACGCGCCACCAGCTGCACGGCAGTGCTTCGCCATCCTCACTGCTAGCCGTTAGCTGCGGCGGCAGTGCACGATCCGGCGGCGGCTGCTTCGGCTGCATACCAGACATGCGTTTCTGCTTCGGAGAGAGCGACAGCAGCAGCGATGTCCCGGCTCCGGAGCCAATCGGAGCGGCTCCCGCCAGAACGCCTGTGAGAGACCAGTTTCCGGAGCCCAAGGCTTGGGAACCGACTCTGGAGGAGTTTCTGAACATCGCGCCGCTGGAAAGCGAGTCCTGCGGCGCGCAATTGGCTTCGAAGAAGAAGAACCGAAGAACGAAGGTCGTGCGCCGCTCGTGGGGCGGTGGCCCGGGGGATGAGGGCCGGGGAGCGTTCTTCGACCGCAGTTCAAGCGACAGCCAGACGAATCGACCTGGTGAACCGCCAGCAGCAGTAGCAGCAGCAGCAGCAGCGGGAGAGGAGGGACATGGTGACAACGAGGTGACTAGCAAGTCGCCATTCCCCATGAAAACGCCTATTAAATCCGCTGTGAGAGTCACTCCAGCTAATATTCAGCCATCCCCGCCCCGTTCATCAGTCTGCCTAGCCTCTGTTCTCTCGTCGAGACCTGACATGGCAACAACCAGCTCAACTGGGGCTTTCCGCTCAAGCTCCGAGTCGGCGCAGGACGCGGGGGAACCTCGACCCAACACCGCGAACAACGGCCGCGGAGCGACCGTCCGGGTGGTGTCGACTGCTGGTGGCGGCGGCTACGGTGGTGCTTCCAGCGGCACGAGGCTCTTCGCGAGTGGTGGAGGAGCTGCTGCTGGGTCGTACTCGACTTTGTCGTACGCGACTTCGTCCAGAGGCCTGGCGTCGCAACTGGGAATGCAACAAAGTGTGTCGACAGGGTGTCTGGTTAGCTTTGGCCGTCCAGCCCCAGCCAGTTGTGTTGCTGGGACCGTTATTGGGGAGCTGACGGAGGTTGGGGCGTTTCGAAATGTCTCTCCGCCTCCATTACTGCCAGCTTCTCTCTCTGGAAAGTCATGAAGTTGTGCTCGCATGACCCTCGCACGCCCGTTGGCTGGTAGTTGACCAGCATTGTTATTTCTTGTATTATTAGCGTGACCAAGAAGTCGTTACTCTTATTGGGCCTGGTCATTAGTCTTTTGCTTGGTGTTGATGTGCATTCTTGCATCTTCCAACCTTATTTTCCAAGGTCTTGCCTCACGTATGGTCCTACATTCCGTACGTCTAGCTAAACCCTGAAGCAAGCAAACAACCGTACTCTTGTTTCGTCGGGAGTATCCCCAAAGTACTTGACGCCCAAAATCCATGGTGCCAGCTAGCGCATTCAGCAACTTTCAGCGGACAGTGTACCTCCGTCGAATGCGTGACTGTGCCAGAGCGTGTTGGCATGGAATGAGGCCGTGGTACATTCGTGTTCAGATCAGCTTTTTGAACGAGCTGTTCAAGAAATCACATGGGCTAAAAACGGTTCAATTGAGTTTCTAAAACGTTTACGAATGGCGCAGTGCGGTAATATTGAACGAGGTGGTCTTGAACAGCGTTTTGAACAAGAATGTTCGCGGCCCCTCTTCAGGTGCCCCATGATAAACAAGAATAAACCCCCCTGACATGCGATTCGGCAAGGCCCACACCGATGGTACTGCAGATCTCGTCCGGAAGGGTTTCTTCTGCCCGCTGCTGCTTGACGGCTAAATGGTGATCAACAGCAATAGCGGATGGCACGCGCCAGGGGTACTCCGCTGACCGGGTAACTTGACATGCGTTGGTGGACGAAACTGGTGCCCCATTTCCTGCACCGCACACCAGTTCACAGCTGGACATTACCATGGCGAATGACGTCATTGTTACGAACAACCAGTCTTCGCTGAAAATGTTCAGAGGGTGGTGAATGGTGATGCTTCTGAAGTTCAACTGGAAACTCCCTATACGAAGCTGTGGAATCATTTTTCAAGAGTTTTTTCATGAACATAATTTTTTTTATGTCTTGGGGCAGCGCATTTAGCTGGCTGTACTGGACACATTCCCTAACCCTGGGAGGAACCCCGAGCCGGACGTTTTCGGAACCCAGAATGTGCTGCCAACCACTCAAGTGACCTGCCGAGGCAGACATTGGAATTCGTGGTGTTGTGTGATCCACTCCCTCTCGGCCATCCAGCCGAAGCAGTGTCATTGAATCTACAAATGTGAAACAAGTTATGCATTGCATTCCTCCTTCCCGATCAACTTTCCACACACCTAACCCAACCAAACCAAAGGTTGAGGGGCCCAAGCCCAAACGCCAACCATCTAAGGAGTTGTAGCGTGAAAGGCCATTTTCCCGAGCTCAACTCGAAGTCCTCCCTGCCAGCAGATGCAACGAGCTCGTCTCAGCTGATTTGCAGCGACTGATATCTTTTCATGCATTACTCTTCGTAAAACGCTCCAGACGATCTCGTCGTGATCTTCCCCCATCGTCACCTCCACGCCTCTCCGCGCAGCAATTCGTTCGTCACCGCATCCAGCTCTCCTGTCGCCCGTCCGTCCGTCTGTCCATTGTCACCACCGTAGTTCCGCATTCCCCCATGGATTCCTCCCAGCAAAGTTCTGCTGCGGGCGATGAAACAAAGTGTCGACCGGAGGAGGCTCGTGAAGGAGAGAACGGCTTGCATGAAGGGGAGAACGGCCATGAAGAAGAATTTCACGACGCGGAGGAGCAAAACGGACACCATAACCAAGAGCACGATAGTCACGACAACAATCATCATCACCACCATCACCACCATCACCTCCGGTTACCGTTTCACCACCATCAGCCCACGCCCGAAGAGGAGGCAGCTAAGGTGCGGAAAGCTCGCTTTCACTGCGTCGTTGTCCGCCGTTCTCCGCCGTACACCTGCATTATCTTGTCCACGTGTCTTCAATTCCCCAGATCTCCTCTCATCAGTCGTTCCCCCTCGTCTTTTTCTTCCCTCCTCACTCTTCTCCCGTTCCCGCCAATCACTCGTATCGCGGATCGCGCGCGCAATGAAGCCGCTGCATTACCGTTCGCCTCATCTCTCCTCTACCGCTCCCCGGGCTCTGTCTCCCCGCGCAGGTGGAAGAGCTTCGCGCGGCCATCGGACCCGTCGACGGCGCAATCGCGCTCTTCTGCACGGACGCGTGTCTGCGCCGCTACCTGCGCGCGCGCAGCTGGCACGTGAAGAAGGCGGAGAAGATGCTCCTCGAGACCATCGCGTGGCGCCGCGCCTTCACACCCGAGCGAATCCGCTGGGTAAGCGCGCGAATCATAAGGACTCCGGCGCGCCGCTAGTGACTTTGACTGGACGCGAATATCTTTCTTGCTTTTTGCTTCTTTGCGGCCGTTGGTTGGAAATGGCGATTCGCCCGCTTTTTAAGGATATGTATCCTACCGCACCCGACCAAATTGCGATTGCATGGTTTGTTGCATTGGTCGTGCATTGCAGCGCAGAGTGTCTCGCGCACATCGCGGCGACCAGAGCGCTGCGCCGCCGTGCGACATTCGCCGCACTTACGGTGGCGTTGCCTGGTTCAATCTTTTGAATTCGGCTCTCTATAGCACCGTTGAATTCGATCCTATTGCACCGTTATCTCCATCTTTTGCGCAGGCTGACGTGGCAAAGGAATCAGAGACGGGCAAGGTGTACCGCGCGCCTTTCACAGACAAGCTCGGACGACCCGTACTCGTCCTGTGCCCTGGCAAACAGGTTAGCGCGGGGTGGGGGGGGAGGGGAAAGCCGGAAAAGGGATGAGAAAAGGGAAAGGGAAGATTATGTTTCGAGAGAGGGTGGGAAGGAAGAGGGGGTGGGAGGTTGGGTGTGGGGAAGGGTGTAGGAGCAGAGAGGGGGACGGTGGAGGGTAGCTAGCTGTTAAAGCGACTTGCAAGCTCAAAACTCAAAGCATCCCCCTTCCCTCCCTTTCCTCCCTCCCTCACCCCTTCTCTCCCTCCCTCCCCTCCCGCCCCCCCCTCCGCCCTCTCTCACCGAACGGTCCTTCTCATCTCTCTCCCCCTCTCTCCCTTTATTGTGAGGAACCCCTCTATGCTCCCCTTTCCCGTTTCGTTTCCCCCTCTCTCACTCGCACTCCCCCGACCTCCCCCTCCCCCCACCCCAAACCCCATTCCGCCTCCCGCTTCTCCCATTCCACTCCTCCCCTCACCCCCCCCTCCCCTCCCCTCTCCCGCACAGAACACGGACGACCATGACGGCAACATCCGGCAGATGGTGTACTGCATGGAGAACGCAGTGCAGAGCCTGCCGGAGGGCGTGGAGCAGATGGTGTGGATCATCGACTACAAGGGCTTCACGCTGCGCAAGTCCCCCCTCATGAAGACGTCCCGCGAGGTGCTGCACATCCTGCAGAACCACTACCCTGAGCGGCTTGGAGCCGCCATTCTCTTTGACCCGCCGTACATCTTTCAAGGGCTCTGGAAGGTGGGTGGACGAGGGGTGGGGTGAGGTGGGAAAGGGGTGGAAGGGATTGTGCCATGGATGCTGATGGTTGTGAGGTGGGATGGAAGAGGGGGGAGATGGGTGGATGGAGGGATGGAAGAAAACAATGGCTGAATTTACCAAAGTAGGACCAGAAATCAAAAGGATGGAGGATGGAGGATTGAGGGTGTGAGGGAAGTGGTCTGCCACCTGCTGTTGCCACAACCTTTTTACGACTCATTCCACCTAACCCCATCCCATCCCACCCCTTCCCATCACACCAGGTGATTCGCCCGTTCATCGACCCAGTAACCTTTCAGAAAATCAAGTTTGTGTATCGAAAGAGTGCTCCTTCCCTCAAAGTTATGGAGGAGCTTTTTGACACCTCACTGCTTGACCCTGCACTGGGCGGGAAAGGGGATGCGTATGTGTATGACCATGCATCGTATTCCTCTCGCATGGAGGCTGATGATGAATGGACGGCCAAATTGTGGGAGCTTGATGGGATTAATGGGGCCGCCAGTGGTTCAGGAACCGCTGCAGTCTAGTGGACTGGCTGCTTGAAACAGCATCTGCTCACCTTCTGTCATTACTACACAGGTGGTGATTTCTATGGGGCCTTGTGTGAATGGGCATGTGTGAATTAATCTTAATTTAATGTTTTAATTGGTGTGTGACACATTCTTCTTGGCGAAGGGCCTGGCACAGGGTGAAGTACTCCCAAAAGCCACACTATGTTGCAAGTGTCCACTCGGCAAGAGTCCACGCTACCTGGCAGAAACTACTGAAAATACCTATTGAGAAAGCTTGCTTTCTTGTCCTTATAATTTGGCATCGTTCTCATTGCAACTGGCTTATTACAACATATGCATCGTTCTTAAACACATGCTAGTACATGCAAATATTACTAGCTATGGAGTCGTCCGTCCAAGCAGCTGTGGTCTTGTAGTTGGTCCGGGGTGGGTGGTGGGGATGTTGATTGAGCCGTTGGAAAACGAGAAACGTGGGTGGAGGGAATGAACTCCAACCCACGGTTTTTGTAGCTGGAGAAGGGCGTTTAGCGCGCTTCGACGCTGCCAAATATTCGGTACAGGCAGCTTCGCTTTCACAATACACAATTTTGAAAAACATCAATGTGTTTAAAAAATATAATTTCTGTGAACAAGAATGTGTCAACCTAAACTTATTCAACCCTTACGCAGCCAGCAATAATCCCTCCAACCGCATCGAGGGGCAGGTGTTGGCAGATCTTTCGGGGTTGAAGCCAATCAGATGTGTCTCCGAATGAAGGTGATGAAGTTGTGTGCTCTGAGTAGGACTGCGAGAACGCTGAGGTGGCTTTGTTCGCAGGCCTTGGCACAACGTAACCGCATTTTTAAGGTGCGAGAATGTTCGCCGGAGTTCGTGCAACTTTGGTTTCTCCACTCTTTCGGCACTTGGATGTTTGGCTCTCTGTTGCTTCGTTCACTGAACAGCACTTTCGCATCTTCAGTAGTTGGATCTGTACTAATCTGATATAGTCTGCCTTTGTCCGAGCCTAGCGAGTTTCGCTGGCAACTGCTGCTTAGAATAAGTCGGTTCTAGATTCCGTAACTGGAATTTTTCCAGTAAATCATCAAGGACAGGTGAAGTTCTCAGGTCCTAATTTTGATTTTGCAAATTATAAGTAGTCGGAACATTATGGCTGCTGCTCCTCTTCGAAAGCCTGTTTTCACGAAGATCGACCAGCTACGGCCAGGAACAACTGGTCACAACTTAACAGTCAAGGTTGTGAATTCTAAAATTGTCCTCCAGAGGCCCAGGCAAGAGGGGACCCAGATGCGGAGTATGCGGATAGCTGAATGCATTGTAGGAGACGAGACGGGGGTGATTGTCTTCACCGCACGGAATGAGCAAGGTGAAGTGTTTTTTCTCCGATCCCAGCGCTCTTTGTTGTTATCAAATGATCGTTAATGCTTTCAATTCAGGTCGTCGTTCTTCCCAACATTGGTCGAACTATTAGCTCCCAGAAGCGTGTGCTCCTTCAGAGCATGCATTTTTCCTCCATGCAATTTGCACGATAAGCGAAGCTGTCAACGACATGCCGCTTGACGGTTTCGCGTTCAGTCGTTCTCTAAAAGTTTCTCGTTATTTTCTGGGAACGAATTTATTTGTGACCAATACCCAGTCTTCCGTTTTTACATTTATGAGTTGTGGCTTATTGGCCCGAGTTGAGGGCTCAAGTCATCGTTGTTCCTTGCGAATCAGTTCTGGTTTGGCCCGAGTTGAGGGCTCAAGTCACCGTTGTTCCTTGCGAATCAGTTCTGGTTCGGCCTTCTTGAAGGAACAAGCTGTTACTGGTATCAGCTCAGCAGCCATGACTGAGAATCCGTTTTTATCAAAATCTAATAATAAATCTTGCCGTTCTTTTGTCAATGTCGCCTTACCCTTTCAGTGGACGTTCTGAAGGAGGGCGCAACAGTAAATCTCCGCAATGCAAAGATTGACATGTTCCGTGGCTCAATGCGCCTCGCCGTGGACAAGTGGGGTCTAGTGGAGCCCACAGAAGACGCATCCTTTAAGCCTAAGGAGGACAATAACCTCTCTCTTGTTGAATACGAGCTGGTCAACGTTGTTGATGAATAGTGTCAAGAGACACCTCGTGAAATGTAGACAGAACTTTTCAATGTTTCTTTTGTTCTTTCCTAGGCGATCTTTGGCTGGTCCTCTCTGAATCAGCTCTCCATGTTGTGACGCCTTTTGCATCAGACACGACTTCCTCTCAAACCATAAGTGGAGGAGAGAGGCAAATTAGTGATGAAATCCACCTGAAAGTCTTGAAATGAATCCCTGGTGAAGGCTCGGAAGGCGCTCATGTCCCAGTTGTAGGAAAAAATCATGGATGAGATAAAACGAGAAAAACGAGAATGAAAAGGTCCAAATCAGTATACGGTATGCAATCGAGTACCCTCTATAGTGCACCTCTGTTCAATTTACATTATATATATCGACTCCTTTCAATGCAACCTGTTACTATGCTCAGCACGAAGGTTTGTCGCCTTACGGTACCAGACATAATCGTTGATATCCATGTGTGCAACTGTTACGGGTGCAATGAGTCGAGGTACCGTAAAGTGCCGCCTATAAGACCTGGGGGACTCTCTACAAATGCTTAAAAGAATGCTTGGGTGGACATTATGGCGGTTGCAATTTTTTAAGACCCAGGGTACACTTATTTGTCAACTATCTTTCTGTTTTTTAAGGGTGTACGGCTTAATTCGAGGCGGGGGGGGGGGGGGGGGGGGGGGGGGGGGTCTTATATTCGTAACAAAAAACAGCCTTCATGCGCAGATTTCGCGCGAGCGGCGCGTCACATCTGTGTCAGAATTTGAGTCTGAGGGTACATTCCTGTGTGGACATTTGTGTCTCAATCCTTTTGTGACGCGTAAAAATGGTAAATTTTTAAAGTGTATTCACTTTCTAAAGTTTTGTATTGTGATAGTGAAGCGATTGCCAACGCAGCAAAGGCAGCGTCGCATCGCTACTCGCCCTCTTTTGGCTACAAAAGAGGGGTTGGAGGCCATTTGGCCTCACCCACGCACTTCTTTTCAAATTTTTAGTTCCTCTCAATCTCGTCCAATCTGGCGAAGACTCAGTCACTTCCACGTTTTACTGCTCCGACAACACTTCTCGCCGACATACTTAAGCACAACATTGCTTCAATGGCGCCCGTCAACAACGTTTCTATTCGCGAAGGAAACAAGACGGCGAACACCCCGGGCGCGCAGAACTCCGGAAGTCTGCCCGGGGCAACCACGCGTCGTGCGAAACGCCCTGCCGAGGAGGCACGCGAGGACCTCGCCACTGGCGTCGAAGTCTTGTTTAGCGCGACCTCCTCGGCGCCTTCTGAGGAGCTTCCTGCCGCGCGCGCTGCTTTCAAGCAGCCGCGCGACATGGCGAAAAAGACAGCCGCTGACGCGGCTGTCATCATCGCTTCGGCCGGCCAGGCCGGCCCCTCTGGCGCACGCGACAAGGAGCACGCGCCAGCGGCACCCTCGGCACCCTCGGCCCCTGTTGACGCCAGCCCCCTTGCCTTGACCACTGCGCAGGTTCAGGCACTGCGGGGACTTCTAACAATGACGAAGTTACAGCATCTGCAAAAAATAACAAGAAGGAAGAAAATGTCGTCGCCCCTCGCCCGCCTAAGGCCGCTCGCGTCGAGAAGAACCCCGCTCCGGCACCCGCCGACGAAGACAGCGACGAGTCCGACGATGCTGCTGGTGAGGCTCCTCGCTGCCGCAATCCAATTTTTTCCAATGCCCCTCGCCCCACACTCCCCTCGCTCGCTCCCTCAACCGCAACTACCACTTTCAACCGCAAGGGTGTGCGTGATCAGGCAGAGGTTTTCTCTGCCATCCAAGCCCACCTCAGGCTCATGGAGCTCCAGCTGCAGCAGGGTGACGCGGAAGGAGCGCTCGCCAACGTCACTCAAATCGAAACGCTCATTAACAAGCGCTTCGAGGTGCTCTTGGTGGCGGACGAGGCGGGTTTTGAAGCGGCCGACCGCTTCCAGCTCTATCAATCGAAGAGCGTGCTCACCTCCCGCTCCTACAAGCTAGCCGTGGCAGATGTGGCAGCATCGAAGCGCGCCCGCATGAGCTATACTCGCACCGTGCGGGGTAACGGCCTCGACAACGGGGAAATCGGCAACAAAGGTGCCGGACAAGGCTCATGCCAAAACAGGGCCTTCAAGGGCACCTGCTTTCGCTGTGGCCAGCCCGGGCACATGGCAAACGCCTGCCCCATGGGGGGGCGCGGCGGACAAGGCCCCACACCCGTGGTGTGAGGAGTAACCAAGGGCGATGCCCCTTTCCCCGCTCGCCGAAAGAGCGTAGGGGATTGCACCAGGGGGTGCACGGCTGTGGAGCAGCCTAGGGACTCAAAGAGGTCAGGGGACCCTTAGATTAAAGCCAGGGTGGCTGATGGATGGCTCTGAAATGTATTTCTTGTTATGAAAAAAAAAGGACTTGCAAGTTGTTTTTACTTCCTCATATTAAACCACGGGCTCTTGGTTGGAGTTGCACTTTGGAAATTAAGAGTTGGCAAGCCTACTCAAGGAATATCAAAAGGAAAAGCCACAAGCGATGGCAGCAAGAAGGAAAATCAAGAGGCAAAATCACGTGCAAGCTCGCTCAAAAAAAAAAAAAAAAAAAAAGAGGGATGGAAGGAGCGAGAGAGCAAGGTGACAAAGGGGTCCCAAAAGGAGGGACTACCAAGGGGCAGATTCAGAGGTACCAAGGCTCGGCACACCCACGCCAAGAATCACAAGAAAAGGCCAAGGAGGGTGGGAGAGAGAGAAAGAGAGTGGAGGAGGTTGAATGGTACGGTGGCACACATATGCCCACGCCTACCCAACCCATCACTAAGTTGGACAAAAGGTAGCCATCACTGAACGACGAGCTCTGCCCATCACCCCACCCCGCAAAGCAAGACACGGAAAAGGAGAAAGAAAAGAGACAAAGAGAGAGAGAGAGAGAGAGAGAGAGAGAGAGAGAGAGAGAGAGAGAGAGAGAGAGAGAGAGAGAGAGAGAGAAGGGAGAGGGGGGGGAGAAGGGCGAGAGGAGTCTCGCACACTACTCGTAGCATATGGTACGTAGGACCATGATCGCTCCTTACTGATTAGCACACTAACGCCGTCTCCTGCATGTATCGTTTGGTACGCAGCCGAGAGCAACACATGGGTAATGGGGGCAACCGACCCATACGAGTTCGCGGTGACAGACACAACCATATTCGTGATGCAAGGCCGATTGCGCCAAGCACTCCACTGGTGGTGCTCGTGGTGCGATAGCAGCTTCATCTTATCCATCATCGCACGTGGCTATTGGTTCCCATGGAAGAACGAGCCCCCCACGCCCTTTGAATCGAAAAACCACGCCGGCACACAAGCACATGGTGATTTCACCCGAACCGCAGTCCAGGACCTCCTTCGCACCGGTGCCGCTGCAGAGGCACCCGATCGAGCCGCACTTTCATGTGTTAGCCCGCTCAACGTGGTCGAGCAACGGACAAAATGTCGCCTCATACTGGATCTTCGGAAGGTCAACGAGCACCTGCGCGTGCCCAAGTTCAAATACGAAGGACTGCTTTGTGTGGCAGAGTTGATCAAGTCGAACGATTGGATGTTCTCCGTCGACCTCAAATCGGGGTATCACCATGTGGACATACACCCAACTTGCTGGCGATACCTTGGCTTCCAGTTTGACGGAGCATATTACTACTTCCGCTCCTTACGATTCGGGTTGGCCACAGCCCCGTTCGTCTTTACCCAACTTATCAAGCAGCTCGCTCGACGATGGCGTGCACGTGGATGGCGAGTGATCCCATACGTCGACGACATCTTAGTGCTATCTGAGTCAGCCCAACAAGCCCGATCGACATGCACCATGATCGTGCAGGACCTAAAGGACTCTGGTCTAGTGATCAACAAGAAAAAGTCCCAGCTGCTCCCCACCCAAGCACTCCGCTTCCTTGGCCTCGAGCTGGACACTCGAAGCTGCACATTCTCGGCGGGAGACGAACGTCGATCTCAACTAAAATCCACAATGGCGACGCTCATTACCGAGGGGCGTAGAGGTCGCCAAGTACACATCCGCCACGTCGCCCGAGTCACCGGCATGCTCGCATCAATGAGCCTCGCTCTGGGAGCAACTGCACGAGCCTTCAGCCACGAGCTGCTCCAAACCATCAACACCGCACCATCATGGAACTCCCGGATATCGCTATCATCAGAGGCAATCGACAAACTGGGCTTCTGGATGGAGCAATTCGACAAGTTCAATGGTGCCCCGTTCCATCAACCGCACCATTACAATGCGGTCATCCAGGTGGATGCTAGTGCGCACAGTTGGGGCGCCACACTCATCACGTTCCGCGGAGAGAGGAGCACAGCAAGCACAAGCATGCCCTCACACTTGCCACCCACGTCCAGCACCCGGCGGGAGCTGGAAGGTGTTTTGTGGTCACTACGCACCTTCATGCATCAGATCCAGGGTGGCCACACCCTAGTCCGTGTCGACAATCAAGGCGTCATGTTCATCCTATGCAAGGGCGACTCAAGCACCACCGAGCTCACCCTCGCCTGCAAAGAAATCATCTCTCTTTGTACGGAACACTCGGTTCGCTTGGCGATCGAATGGACCCCTCGCAAGTTGAACACCCATGCGGACGAGCTCTCCAAGCTGCAAGACCATGATGACTACACTCTGAAACAACCTTGGTTTCGCCTCCTTGAACGTTGTTGGGGGCCCCACTCCATCGACCTATTCGCAAACGCTCGCAACGCGTTGTTACCTCGCTTTTGCTCGAAGGTGCCCCATCCCAAGGCTGAAGCGGTCAACGCATTCTTGACGGATTGGAGGGGAGAGCACGGTTTCGCGTTCCCACCCCCCCACCTCATCCCAGCAACCCTTCGGCACGCGCAACGCACCCACGCAAAGATCACTCTTGTGATTCCACAATGGACAGGGGCTGCTTGGTGGCCCCTTGTGCAGCCATCTCCCCAGACATGGGCCAAGGGGATCACCAGCCACCTAGCACTTGCAAGCGGTAGTCAATGCCTTCACCCAGGCACACACACATCTTCG